GAGAGAGGGAGACAGAGAGAGAGAGAGAAAGAGAGAGAGAGAGAAAGAGAGAGAGAGAGAGAGAGAGAGAGAGAGAGAGAGAGAAAGTAGGTCAGCAGTGAAAGCCAGCAAGGGAAAGGAGATTGTACAGGGAGAGAGATATTCCGTTCTGCCCTCTTATTTCCATAACATTGCACGACCAGGTAGGGACATTATTTTGTTAAGATCTAGGCAAGGCGTCTCAGGCTTTCATGCAAGTCCCCGCTGTCTCCTATAGACAGGACAGGTATACGACATAAGGCGTATAAAAGTTTGAGAGACTGAGGTGAAGGTAAGTAAACGTTCCTCTACGACAAGGATTTTAACTCAGTCTTTACAGTAGTATTTCCCCACCTTAATTCGTTTAACAATTGTGAGGCAGCGTGGTGGAATCAGGCTCTCGTCAAAATCATCAAAGTGAAGAAACTTGCATTTTTCCGCAGGTTTGTGAATTTTTATCAAATTATTGTTTTTTGGCTCAACACCTTTCATGCCTATTAAAGAACCCATTTCTGTTTGGATTTTTCTGAAAAAGGAAATAACTAATCTTTGGCTGCCATTTTCTCACTAATTTTACCTCTGAAAACGGGTGACCCCCACCTCCTTCTTTCGCAAATATCTCGACTTGTATTCAAGATAAATGGATATTTTTTTCATCTACATAAAGACACGTTAACAAGCTTTAAGATGATACCCATAACTCTACATGCCCAAAAATTGACGAGAGCCTGATTCCATCGCGCTGCCTCACAATTTGGCTCAAAATTGAAAACAAATCTGCAATTGGATGCTGTTTGTGTTTTTGTTTTTTTTAAAGGATTTTCGTGTGAGGAACAATTTCGGTCTATTTCATTGTCTAGGAGGTATTGGCATGTTGCATGATTGAATTTCTAGAAGCTTGATATACCACAGCTGCTGTGAGTGGTGAGACTAATCGAGGAAGATACCTTAATAATATTTTGAATGTAATCATGTAACCGTGTGCAAGTTGCGCACGTTAAAGATCCCTTGGTGGTCTAAAATCGATAAGAGTAGGCTTCGGCCGCCACCCGGGCAAAATTCAAAATTTCCTACCTACTTAAAATGCTTAATGTATCCCGCGCGCTCATCATGTGAGCTTTTGCAGTTGCGAGCGCCGTAAAACACTTACAAACAAAAAAAATCATGTACAATGATAACATGGAGTACCAGGTAGATGGACAATAATTATGTGTGAACAAAAGTATTAATATGAATAAGACGAAGTGAGGAACTGCAAGACATGGTGTGTTTTTACATGACAAAAGATGTCTTTTTTTCGTATCACATACTCGTAACTGTTTCTACGCCATTGAAAGGGGGATGTTTCTTTTTTACACTTTCCAGTCTCATCTATTTGTTTCTATTAACGTTTTTCTCATATGTGAGGCAGCGTGGTGGAATCAGGCTCTCGTGAATTTTTGGGCACATATAGTTATTGGTATCATCTTAAAGCTTGTTCATTTGTCTTGCTTTAAATGAAAAAAATACCCATCCATCTTCAATAGAAGTGGAGATGTTTTGGATTGAAGGAGGTGGGGATCACCTGATTTAAGAGGTTAAATTAGCGAGAAAATGGCCGCCAAAGCTGGGTAAATTCCAAAGCTGGAGAGTCCATGGAAACTGAAAATTTATATTTTTGTGCCTTTAATCAACGTTTTTGGTGAAATCCTCAAAGGAATGTGTTTGTAAATGGACATAAAAGGTGTTGAGCCAAAAAAACACAAAAATTTGATAAAAATTGCTGAGCAAGGAGAATACTGCAGTTTACTTCGATTTCATTATTTTGACGAGAGCCTGATTCCACCACGCTGCCTCACATATTTTGTCTGATATCTTATTTTCCATTTTGGTCATTTCCTTATCCCTTACCTTAAGTTCTTCCCTTAATGTTTTTCAATCACCTATCCCTTATCTTAAGTTCTTCCCTCAATGTTTTTCAATCACCTATCCCTTACCTTAAGTTCTTCCCTCAATGTTTTTCAAGCACCCATTTCCCTTTTCTTATATCATACATGTCCTACTATTTCGCCTGCTCCTTTTCCTTCTTTCCTTCTCCATATCCATCATCTGTCTGTCTTCTTCCTCATCCTTTTCCTTCTTCCCTTCTTCATATCCATCATCTCTCTGTCTTCTTCCTCATCCTTTTCCTTCTTCCACTCTTCATATCCATCATCTGTCTGTCTTCTTCCTCATCCTTTTCCTTCTTCCCTTCTGCATATTCATCATCTGTCTGTCTTCTTCCTCATCCTTTTCCTCCTCAACCCGTCCCTCACCTCCATATTATCCTCTTTGTCCTTAAGCTATCCATCTACTTTTACAGCAATGCTCCTTTGCGTCATTTTTCCTTTTACACACCCTTCTTTTCCTCCTGCCGTCTTTTCTCGACTCTTTTCCTACTCTTCCTTGCACTCTTACGCCTCTCTATCCTCTTCCTCCTCCTCGAACGTCTCCTAACACAGCAGACATTGAAGGATGAATTACGAATTGAACAGCCGTGCTACAATTATGCGCTCAGAGCAGTAATGGGCCTGAATACTTCTTGCCTTTCAAGCTGCAATTCTCCTCTGAGTGCAGTATTCCGTCCTGTCAGTGAACAAAGCTTTCTCTCCGAAACTATTTATTTCCCGTTTAATAGGGTATGAAAGTTCCAAAGAAACAGTTATTTCCTTTAAAGAAACAGTCTTTTCTTTAAAGAAACAGTCCTTTCCTTTTCGTTTTATCTGTATATTATATATCTCTTTCTCATTGTGTTGATGGGATGAAAAAAACATCTACATTTAAATTTTGAATTTCTGTCTGTCTCACTGTTAGTCTCTCTCTCTCTCTCTCTCTCTCTCTCTCTCTCTCTCTCTCTCTCTCTCTCCCTCTCTCTTGCTGCATGTGTGTGTGGGTCCACGTTTATAAACTAACCAGTTCAGACTTCTTTTTTTCTGAATTTGCTTAAACTCGTGAACCCGGACAGCTCACGGTGTATATTTAACCACAG